TGGTGCTTCAGCCCCCCAATTGTCTGAGGGACAGCAACCTGGCCCCCTACCCAAAAAGGTTGCCTACCCCTGACCTAGAGATTCCTAGAGAGGTGTTCTCTCAGGTAAAAATTTAGTATTTTTGTTATTGGTGGTATTTCCACATTCACGGGGGTTCTGTGCCCCTAACCCCAGAAAATGTGGAGGGAAGAGTGTATATGGAAATATTAAGGCAACTATTCTGCTAATTTTGGTAACCCCCACTTGCTCTGGGCATTGTGTCTGAAGCCCATGTAAAATCTAGTGAATGTGACAGGATGATTGTGAGATAAAAGCCTTATCTGGAATCAAACTGTCTACCTTGTAGGCCATTGTACTCCTTGTTCATTCACATATCTTACCAGAGTTTGGAAAAGTCTTCTTCTTTTTTTTTTTTTTTTTACTGCAGCTCCCCAAATCCCCTAGCCAGCATAACCATTTCCAGCAAGGATGTTTTCCAAACTCTGCTCCATACCTGGAAATAATCTGTCTCCCATGTTGTTGCTGATGATTGCTGCAGCCTGGATTGCCTCAATTATTATCAGATCTTGCATGTGCTGAATTATGAAAGAAGTGGCATGGGATTGTGGAGCATGAATTCTACCAATCTGTTATTTCTCAGTTTTATGTGTGGTGATACACTGTTGGCTGTTCAGATCGATGGGGGGGGGGGGGGGGGGAAGAGTGGTTTGAGTTAATTAAAACTCATGGAATAATTGTCTTCATCATTCCTATGCGTGGGAAAATGCAAAGTGAACACACCCATTTCTAGGTAGCCATGTTTATGCTATGCTTATTTAGCTCTATGAACTGCTGAGTACATGTATATTTTGTCTCTGTGCAGTAGGAGCCTCTCTTCTTTGATGCACAAGGGAAACTGTATTCAATCCTCCCAGGTGCCCCATTTCCCAGGGCTTTCTTGCTTGCGAGTTCATGTTTCTGGTACATTACTCTCCCTATTTAGTATCTCTTTTGACTCAAGAGAGATGTTTGTTAACATTTCCTCAGTTTGCGTTGCTAGAGTTTTCCTCCTGGATTCTCCTTCTTCAAAGTCTCTGAGTATAAATCTGGAGCTGTGCAGAAATGGCTTCTTGTACTTCTTCAAATTGTCTGAGAGCAGGGGCATGGGGAGACCACTTCACTGAATTTCTTCAGTAGATGGATGAATCAAACCTTGGAATGTTACTTTTAAAAAGTAACTTATTGTGTAATTAATTACTCTCTGCCATTAACACTGCCATTTTTAGTATGCTCTGTTTTGGATGATGATGATGATGATGATGATGATGATGATGATGATGATGATGATGATGATGATGATGATTATTATTATTATTATTATTATTCCAAAGAAGAAGAAAATGACATAACAAGTGAAAAAGAAAAATCACCTTGAAATGCCATCAAATCATTGAAAGAAAGGGACTCCATTATCCCTAAATAACTTGTCACAGGTAATGTTGCTTGTAACAATATTATCTGTAAGTTCTAAGAGAAATTCTCTCAACACTTTCTTGAAGGTTAGAGTCACTATCAGCAGTGGCAACAGCAAATCTTCTTTCTCCCCCCCCAAGAGATTTTTGTAGGGTGGGCTGCTGTTTCAACTGTTAGATGTTGTAAATGTTGATATTAGCAGCCTGGTTAGTACAGTGTGACCCTCATATCTATGGGGGATATGCTCCCAAACTTACAGTGGAAACACAAAACTCTCATACCAGCAAACCCTGTTGAAATGAATGACTTCTGGAGGAAATTGATTATAGAGTCACACGTGAGGACCTAGAGATTCTTAGAGAGAACACCTCTCTTAAGCATTTCTAGGTCCTCACTCTGGTCAGCTTCTACTGGAAGGATACCTAGAATCCCTTTGGAAGACCTAGAAAATGCCTAGAGAGAACATATTTTATCAGATGTTGCTAGGTCAAACTGCAGGTCCCCGTCCCTTGGGCACAGGGATTGTACTGTATTTTGCATCATCCACAGTGCTCTGGATCTTTTTTACATGTGTCTATGTTTGTGTGGCCATGAGGAGGAACTGTAGCTGCTACAAACAATGATGATAGAGAATAGCTGAAGCAAAGCCAGAAAAGGGTGATGAAAATGTCTTTTCACAAAGCTTTTCAAATAAATGCCTCCTGATAAGATTTGTTTAATCTGTGTGAGCAGCCTGCCTCTAAAGGCATTCATGTGCATGAGCACTAAGGCAACCTACA